GAAAGCGAATAAAACAGGACAGAACATGGCAGACGGAAGGGATTCAGATTCAGATTCACTTCGTATTTAAATACCAAACAATAGGCGCAATTAAAAAAGGAAAACCAATTCGTGAAAAATTGGAAAAATTTACCACGTACGCGATGTGCGGAAAATAAATCAAGCTGATTGTTTGCTTTGGCGACTGACTGCTCCTCCTCCCGATTCGAACTGATTGACGTTAAAAATGCAACTAACCTGCGTTCGCGATCTAGACCCTTAACTCATCGCATACAAGATCTAATTTCATCTCATGCGAAGATGATTCTCGGCTGGAAAAACTTGATTAGCAGCTTTGGCTGCGTTGTGAAATTGTTGACTTTGAGTTGAGCTCTTTTAAAGTGACTTTTAATGTTGGTTTAGCTTAGTTTGCTTTTTATTCTCATCCACATTTGATGAATGTGTGTATATTCTTTGCTCATTCGCATCTTCTCGGAGACCATTTGTTGTTGTGTTAGCACCTGATGCTAATGAGTTAATTAACACATTTAGCTCTGGCGTTTTGTTGTTCACAAAAAAGTTGGTTTTAAGAACTCTAGAGAAGCAGACACGCATTAGGTTTTAAGGTGAAAACATATTCAAAACAATATTATAATGGAGAACGCTCTATATTTATGCCAGATATTTACTTTTCAAGTACAGGAAATATACCTTAAATAAAACCCCTGCTAGGGTATAAAAATATAAGTAAATAGTATAAGCATAAAAAGCACTTAATACAATTTGAAAGTGCTTATCGACATTACAATCTGCACATTTTATCAAACAAGTGACAACAACTCTTCTTGACTTTAATGGATGCAATCTACATATATGAAGTGTTTTTACTCAACTTTCACCTTCTTGTCATTGATTTCTACGCCAGCCAACGAGAAATGCAAATACAGTACGTAATTTGTTCAAGGTTCCTTCGTACCCCCTTTTGCAGAAGTTTTTGCCGTAATTTCTTGGCACATTTCGCCTTTCAGCACCGCAAAATGAAGACTCATATATGTGTGCTCTCCTTGACTTGCCATATATTATGGCTAATTTGAATTTTTATCATGTTTACAAGCAAACAATACGTGCATCATCATCATGGCAGAAAGAAGGAGCCGCCACCGTTTTATTTTATTTTTTTCGTAGCTGTTGTTGACGCCGGGAAAACCTCGCACAACATTTGCATATCGATTTCATATGCAGTGAGGAAAATTCATATGTTCCCGCGTCTTTTGCGCAACAACAACCACTTTTCCACCCGCCACCCCCTTTATTTCCACATCTCTGGAGAAAATGCAATCGAGTTTTTGTGCTTCTCCGAATTTGTACGGAATAAATATGAAGATGTTTACCTCTCAGTTGCTCTTTCTTTTGTTCTTTTTATGACGAATATAAGGAAATTAATAAGAGTTTTCTTAATTCATTTTAACATTACTGACCCCTTTTTTAGTAACATTTTTAATTAACATCTTTAAATAGCGATACAAAGTTTCAATAAAGAAAAAAAGCCAATCCTTTGGCTTTGGTATAAAATATTTTAATAAAAGAAACCGATATTTTAAATTGAAGGGGAATATGAACTTCGGTGATTAAGTTCATTCCTTTTTCCTGCAACCAAAAAAAGGGAAATTGTGTGTTATTTGAGAATTTAATATCACTCCCAGTGGCTTCCCTCGTTTTTATCCCCTTCAAAATCATCCTCCTTCGAAACTTGACATCGTCCCGCGACTCTTTTCCCATATTTTCCGCTTTTCCTCGTTGTCTGTTTGAAGTTTGCTTGCATGTAAATTGCTCTGATTACCACGTTGCAGTTTTTCTCACCTTCCCCATTTTCTCACCTTTTCCACTTTTGCTTACTCATTTGATTTGCTTGCACATTTCGCTGTTGTCTCGTTTGCCATCCTTCTTTTTTACTTAACCTAATGCAAATCGCTGTTATTATGCACTTTTTGCCCTTAGACAATATTCTCTTTGTTTCCCCTGCTTTTCTCTCCGGTTCCTTGAGGTATTTATGTCCTTCAGGGTTCCCTCCTTTTCCGTTGAGGGTTTGCAGCTCAGGGTCAGAGGGGAGTAACAAAGTGTCATAAAATTTGAATGCAATTTTTCTTTTCCCTTTGCTCCAATTTATGTGGAAATGAGAAGTCATTTGTACGGTATTTATGGTAGAGAGTGTTTTCTGAAGGACCTATTCTTTGTGGGTTGAAATTTGATGGGCGATTTAAAATCGCTGATTGAATTTGCGACAAAAGATCAAAGGTAAACAAATCGTTGAGGATAATTTAATCATGTTGTTTGACCCTGATTAATCCGGAATATAAAACTTGGAAAAGGAAATTTCTCATCCTACAAAGAAATATATTGGATTAAGTTTACTAAGCCACAGAGTAATCATTACATATTGTTTAGGAATTACAAAACTTGTATGTATTACTCCTTCTCGAAAAACCTATTATCCTCAGTGTATGCTTTTCTTGGAAAGGCACTAATGGGTCCAATCTATATTCCATGTTATTTCTTAAAAGGCGGCTGCATCGATTCCCACGCTATTTTAAGCCTTTACTCAAGCACTCTATGAATCCAATTTATAGGAAATCTTTATACACCACAGACGACGAATCGAAAATAAGAATAGAGGAACAGCAAAAAGAAAAAGAAAACCAATCAGAGGGTTGTCCTCTTTAGCGATTTCCGCCTGCCAAAAGTATGCAACACTTTTGCGAAGGAAAACTTTTGGAAAAGGGACGAGAAATATTGGAGTAAAGGAGTAAGGAGATGAAAACAGCGTGAGCCAAGCAGGAAACAAAACTCGGCGACTCACTCAAGCATTTTATTAAATTGCCACCTTCCGTTTGTTGTTACGTTGAGACGACGACAGTATTTTTTTGTTATTTTTTTTTTCGATTTCTAGGCTGCGAGTACCCGCACTTTTGCCCCTCTCATTCGACCATGGCGGTATACCAAAAAAAAAAAAAAAAAGAGGAAAGCATGGAAAAAATATTTCTACCATCTTTTTCTATTATATCGCTTCCGCTGCGAGTTCCAACCAAACTTTTGTCAGTTGTTTTCGTTTGGTTTTTTTTTTCTTTTTAGTTTAATTTTGTTGCTGCCTTGCCGAGGTTAAAGTGCCAAATCACGAAACAAGCCACATTTCTCTCTGTCTAGTTTGGAATATTGAATTGAATTGCAATTTCGCTGTTTGCCGTGGAGTCGTCGTCTGTCTATAATGCGGCAAATGTTGGATGGCGTCCAACTTGAATTTGCATCGAATTTGTTTTAGGCGCAATGCGGGCGGTCGCTACCGAAGGGCTTATCTGAAATTGAAAAGCCCCCAGTGGAGGCTTCGGTTCGAAAAAGGGGTTTTCCCCAATAGCTGAAATCATACAGAGATTCGCTAAAGTTTCTGCTGCACACATAAAACATTAGATAACAATTAGCCGAGTTTATTTATTGTTATACTAAATTTTGAGAAGTAAATGTGATTGTTTGTGTTTCGGTCGCATCTCCATTGTTCCTTCCATTAAAAACTATTATATTACTCATTACCGCCATTGAGGGTACTTATCCATCAGCTCGAAAAAAAACAACGAAAAAATTAGTTAAGCACACACGGAGAGGAAAAAGTGCCGAAAATTATTAAGCATACGCCATGTTGTACAAGCGTAATTACACACTGCTGGAAAAGCAGCTGGTGGGAGCTTTCGAGAGAAGATTGGCTGGCAGGAAGACTCGCAATGCCGGCAAAACTTTTTTTGCGCACAGTTTTCATTTTTTGTTACAACTTGTTAACAATAAACGCCGCTAGAGGTTCCCCAATTAAAAGTGGCATTCTCTTCACAGTCTACACTCCTCTTTTCCATCCCTTGTGTGTGTGTGTGTGTGGGGGTGGTGGGGGTGAAAGTCAACATTTTTGTGGTCACTTAAGCAGATTAATATCATGGGTGTAATTAAAAGAAGCAGCCCCCAAAGTGTGGGCGGGTTGTGAAGCTTCCTGTCTGAAATTAACATAAATTAAAAAATGTTCAGCAACTTTTTACTCAGCTTTTTGAACACTTTTTTTCGTTGTGTTGAACATTTTTGCTGGCTCACATAATTGATGGTTTTTAATTAACTGCCAAGTGACCGACAGCTGACAATGAACTTTGAAACAAAGGGACGGCCGAAGCGAAATGCACGAATGAAAGTTCAATGGAAAATCCGTAAAATGTTGCTGAAAATTTCGTTCGCACACACAGTACCTCTGTCGTTGCCATGTTTTTCGCAATTTTCCCTTCCACCGCGCTTTTCATCCCTCACCAGTTGACCATTGCCAATAAAAACTGTCAAATACTATTGCCCGCTTTTAGGCTGACCGCGTTTTTCGCACGCAATTTCCACCGCCACCAAAATTCTGATCGGTTTCTGTCCATCTCTGCCACTCTCCCTCATGTGTCTCCCCACTTCATGTGTCCTTGCATTTCGCTTTGAGAATTTTTGAACTGGGGATTACGTTGGACATGGAAAGTGGGTCTCCGGATGGCGCAAAAAACCGATTTTGGAATGGTTTAAACTTAGTTTTAAAGGACGTGGGAGGCAATGTTTCGTACCAATATGTTACGGAAGAAGATTTTTAATATAAATCTATATTTCATATCATGTCCTAAAACATATTCCTCAAAAAATACATACACCTATTCTTCTACGGAAATCAATTTCCAGGAAAACGTCTGCTATCCTTTCAGCCGATGCATTTCGCATCCGTAAGCCCCAATTTGTATTTGGTTTTCGATAGAACATCGCACACACATTTCTCACGCCTCGCTGGTCACTTTGTGCCGCGTTTTGTTGATTTGTTGGCGGGGGAAATATTTTGGGTTGGCATACTTTTAGTCACCCACATGCACACACCGCATCTATTCACCGCATTGTGTGCGAATAGCTTTCTATTTCTGTTTTTCTTCTTGTTTCAACTACATTTGTTTTTCAGAACGGGTATGAAAACTTACCATTGCGATTCTCGCTATCGGCGGGTTTCATTTGAATGGGATGGTACATCTGAAAATGCAAAAAGAGAAAGTTTATTAAGAATTAAATCGATTAAATGTTTGGTTAAGTTTTGATTTTTTAAATTTCTGATACATTTTATATTCGTTTCAGATCATCAGAATAATGAGATTCAACAGATTTTAAAAGCGGAATTATCTTTCAATAGAGTGTCCTTATTTTTTTGCTTGAGCCCTGCCGTTTTTTCTCGTTAAAATCAAATCCGTTTCTGGACGTGTTAATCACATTTGAAATATTAGAGCGCAATATGCTCCGTGGTTCCGGCCGAAAGAGAGAAGGCCGCGATTAATTTACAGAGCTTAGGGCCAAAATGCAGTCGCCAACCCCAAAACGGCGACAAGGGACTGCAGTTCCGGGAGCTGGTAAAATAGGCGAATGTGGGGGGCAAACTTTCTCCACTCCCACCGCGGAGCCACCATCCACTTAAGCTGCATAATGAATGGAATGCAGGCAAAGGCAGAAAGGAGCCTCGCAGGACACGGAACAAAGCCTCCGCCTAAATCCTTGACAAAAGCCAAACACATTTATTCAGCGGCGGCAAAAACGCGAAAGGGGGAAACTTTTGCCGCTATGTGCAAAAATCCTAAAATATGCGTTAGACTTTGCCGCGTGTTTTAAATGTAATTTTTCGCGCTACACACACACTAACACACTTCGGAAAGTCTTCTAATTAAAACAAGCTTAAAGCTCGCCTCTGTCCCCAGCCACGCCCCCTTCCGCATTCAAAGAGGCCGCGAAACTGGCACGAGGTCAGACTAGATTCTCTAGTTAGAGATGGGAGCGTGAGTTAATAATAATCGTTACGATCTTACGATCTTATAACCTGTTTATTAAATTAATTTAAACAAAATAATATACAACTTATTAATTTAATTGAGGAATTATTTATTTACAAGCATTAATATACAAGTTTTTATTAACTTCTCAGGCGTGTCACGTGATCACCGTTGGGTGAAACTACTGCTTGGCTAATGGCGCGTGATTTATTGGCAAACGGGCAGCGAGCGAACGACGACAGTCTACGCTAGAAGGCAATGTCCTTGTACTTCCCTTTGGGGGAAGTCCTTTTAGCCTCCTCCAAACTAACCGACTTTCCTGCCCCAGCCCTTTCTAGCCGTAAATAATACACGCAACGCGACTGGTTACAAATTGCAGTCCAAGTCAACCTGGTTCTCCGCCGCTTCCTTGGCTTTCTTATTTTGCCAATTTATTTATATGCAGGAAGTAGCAATTACCAGTCAAACACAGGCGGCATTCACGCCCCCTTCAGGAAAAGCAGTTTCGAAGGTGGAAGTCCTTTTCTTTCCTCACTTTGTCAACCAACCTTCGTGGTTGGCTTTTCCCTGCCTCCACGTAATTGGTTGAAATATCGCCGACGACTGTTTTCTATTGGGGCAATTATCGGCCGGTCTGCACTTAATCAGCGAAAAGTGGCTCATGAAATGCAGCACTGCGATATGTTATCGATATAGAAAAGAAGTAATTGATTGGAAATCAAGAATAATATATATTTTATAAATTCTTTATACTTCTTTTTATGTGTTTTTCAAATATTTATTTATTTTGACCAAACTGCACTAAAAAACTGGCTTTAAATTTATTGTTAGACTTATGCTATTTATATTATCCAAGTAATGAGAAAATTCGAAACATATTGAAAATATCCTTTCGGCATTCCCAGCAATCAACATGAATTTCCAAAGGCATTTCCCCCATTTCGATAACAATCGCAAATTGTGCAAGAAAATTACAAGGCAACGTCAAAGGCTGTCAGTGGAACTGCCAAAAGCAGGAACAACAACGATGGGAATCAAATGCAGCACGCACATGTCCCGTTATTCGCCCTTTAACCCGTCATCGCCCCAAACGTTCCATAGCAATTTTCTAAAATAAATATCGCAGCTGCAGCCACGAAGCTACATGCAAATTATGTCAGTTCCCCTTTTTCGAAGCCGATAACGTGATGACATAAGCATTGTCCCGAGTTTTCCCGCATTTCCCCCGACCACAATTTTTTTTTTCGGAGCTAACACATGGCTTTCAAATAATAATAATATTCAATGCTTATTTGATGGCGATATTCAAAAAAAAAAAAAAGAAAAAAAGAGGGTTACAAAAAGAAAACAAAAAAGTGGGAACCGAAAAATAAAAAGCAACACTGCTAAATGTCGCTCGCTTTTGCTGACGTCGCTCGCTATCTTCTGACCTCTCCTCGAACCACCCATCCCACTATATATTTTCCCTTTGCACTTGTGCTGACAACTTTTCCAGGACTTTGCTTGCTTTTCCGCTTTTCAGCTGCTTCTGCTCCAAAGTGCAAATTGACATTTTTGTGCCTGCGGTTTGCTCTCTTTCCGCCAGAAAAAGAAATGGCAAATTGACCGACTATGTGAACATCCTTTGTATTGAACGGCGCGTTTCAACAATCAATAAAAATGGAGACATTTTAATTCTTCAATTTTAATTAGTAATTTTTTTTATCAATTTGTTTATGTTCTCCTGTTCACTATAAGATTAAAAATATTATTAGTTGCCTTTTTAAATCAATCTTAACAATTAACGCTTTTCTTTAAATTTTATAATTCTTATTTATGAAAGAAACAAATTGTTTGACTATTTCATAATACCCTCATAAAAAAACGGAACAAAACTGAAAAAAACTTTTGGCGCGTGTCTTGTGCTAACAATTTTTGCAATTTTTTTGTGTTCGTTCTTTATTTTTAAGCTGCCACAGGACACAGGGCTAAACTTTTAAAATTACTTGCATTTTATAGGGAAAAGTCTCGTAGTGAACAACAAAATAAAAAAAAAACACTGTATTGGAAAATAGAGAAGGAAGAATTTCACGTTCCGCGATTTTTTTGTGGGGCGCTTTACACAAAGATTTCCCCTTGCGATGCATTTTATTTTAGTTCCTCGGTGTTCAGCCTTTTTTGTGCGGTGTCATGGCTCTGTCAGTCCAAACGCCAGTCAATCTGTCAGTCAGCGAGTCAGTTAGCCATAATGAAGGAGGCGAGAGGAATCACGACGATGATGCTACCACCAACCCACCATCCCCATCCTCCCCATCCGCGCCTCCTGGCTGTTGTCCTGTCAAGCGGATGATAGCGTTTCATGATAAGTTTATAGAGTTTTTCCTTGTTTGTGTCAGATCAGCGAAAATTCCAATTAAAGGCTAAGTTGGCCGGGACTATTTCAATTCTTTTTTTCTTAACCCACTTTGGCCTCCAAAACACTTCTTTGCAATTTGAAACTGACAAGGGGAAATCGAGTGGTCGATGAATGGAAAGTCCCAAGAAAGTAAATATAAATATATATTTCCTTTCACTTTTTACGTTCTTTTATAAATAAATGATTTGGAAATTTCTTTCTTGCATAATAGTTGCATAATTTGGAAAATATTTTTGCACAACCCTCAAGACAAAGCTGCAAAAGCAACAAACCTTCCCACTATAATATATATTAAAATCTATAACAAACAAGAAATACCAAAATGGTATTTTATATTTTTTGTGGGGAATATTCAACCATTCATCCGGTAGATTTCTAAAAACCCAACATAAAGTTTTAAAGAAGGGATGAGCTAGATAAAATCGTTACACAAATCAAAATTTCTTACCCCATTCAGCGTCTTCACATTATGCAAAGCATCCTGGGCTTTCAGGGCGGCGCGTCTCGTATAGAACGTCACAAAACAGCAACCTGGAAAATAAAGGGAAAGGCATAAGATTAGCATGGGGTTTAAATTGAAGTTTATTTTCGAGCGAGCGTCAAAAAAGGTGGCACTGGGAAATTATGAAAATTATTATTATTAGCAGAGCTGGGCTAGGGAAAATACCCGAATGGGAATCGTGTGGAAAGAAAGGAAGCCATGGGCGTCGCTAAGGGGCCAGAAACGAGGCAACAACATGACAGCCTGGCACTAAATTAAACATTATAGCCCCAACAAATGTGTCGCGATTTAGAGCGGAGTGGAAGTTTCCATGGGCGGCGGGTGCCAAGAAGGGGTTGGCCCACTCTTTTGGGCCGAAGAAGGGTTGGCAAGGTGTTTTAATTTATAAGGGTTCGAGTTGATGGCAAATGTGGCAAGCATATTAAGTGATACTTAAAGTCAAACATCAAGCGTAGAAATGCCCTTTTCGCCCCGTAAATGCATATCGTATAATTTTCAGATTTAGATACACATAAAACACTTAAATCTAGTTCTTTGCAGTTTACTTTTCCGTATTTCCAAAACTGTGCTCTATAACTAATGAGAAACTTTAATAACAGTACGAAAATGTATGCCAAGTTTTTAATTAAAAGAAACTTCAATATCACATCTGCTTAAAAATAATTTACACAGATTTTAAATGTCCCTTTAAATTCCACCCGAAAACATTTTATCTGCGTATTTTATTTTTCTCTCCTTTTCACGGCATTCCATTTCCATTTCGGCAAAATAATTTTTTGTAGGTTCTATTTTGGATGTGGCAGAAATTCCCTTTCTTTTATGTGCCAAATCTGTGGCCAAGTTACATACACACACACTCCCATCCAGAGCTTTGGTTAAATCCATTTCCGGCTCCTGCACACACACACACGGCTTTTCCTGCATCCTGCACACCATTTCACCCATCGCCACCCGCTCTGCAACCCCAATTCAAGGCCTACCTCAACCTCAGGTGCAGCAGTGTGTGATGGCAGCGATGGTTACAACAAAACTTAATACGGCAATGCAATAGTTGCATAATGCAATTACCCACCAGCGTATCGGCGGCATTTAGCGGTGGCCATTTTGGTTGGCCGCTCTCAGCCGGGCTTCAAGTGGAAAGTGGGCAGTGGGTGATGTGCCACCCGGAAAATATCCCACCCCCAACATGGCCCGCCCGCACAGGTAATTCAATCTGTCGCAGTTTTTTGCCATGTCACCACCGAAATTTTTCTGCATTTTTCACATATTTGCAAATATTTTCATTTCTCGTTCTGGCCTTTCTTTTTCTGCCGTTAAATATCCGGCAAAGGGAGGTTAGACGCAGGCGTCGCCACATCCGACGTGCGAGTGAGTTATGGGATCCGCCGCTTTTCCATTTTCAAAAATTTAAAAATGAGGAATTCACCATTTCACGCTTAAACTTTACTAAAGTTCGGAAATATGTTTCCTATTATATGATATATGAATAAATATATATTATAGGATATATTAACTAGTTAAATCACATAAACAACCCAAAATATTCATCAAAATAGGTATGACATGGTTCTTTTTCTAGAGAAGGTTTTGGGTGAATCCTCAATCCAAAGACAACTATTATTTCTTTTGCATCCCTATCATGTTCCACTTAAGTCCAAGGAAAGCAAACCGACTATCGAATGACACCCTACTTCGATTTCATTTCGCAGATTAAATATCACTTAAAATTAAACTATCGTTAAATGTAACAAATGAAGGAAAATCGAAACCATTTGGAATGCAATAAAACATGGTCGGCGAGGATGGATTCTAAGTCAGGGGGTCGGTCGGGGGGCTATAGATAAGAAAACCAATCGAACGATAACGAAGGAGGAGGCAACGAAACTGCATCAAAACAACGCAGAAAACGAAGAAAAATCTCACACAATTCCCATTATGTGCATGTCAACTGCAGTTAGAATCAAACACAAGACACACAACCAAAAGGAACAAAGCTATAAAAAAAACAACAAGCACGGCAAAGGAGGAAAAGTAAAGGAAAAGCCAAAGAAAATCGAAGGAAAAGCAGCAGGAATAAAGCTGAAAACGACACCCAGTCACGTTTTTGGACAAAAAGAACTTAATCCCGGCAAGTGGGCGGAAGATGAAATCGAGAGCCGCCAGACAAGACGTGCCAAAGTCCGGCAAAAAGGATACATACGTATATCTACCTCGAAATATATATTTATATCCACCCACTCGCCATAAAATACAAACCCTTTGGACACACGTTTGTGGACGAGAAGAGCAACGAAACGAATTAATCGAAGTTAAATAAATCAATGTCTTTAAACATTGCCACCCACAGATTTACTGACTTCGACTAAAAGAACACAAAGTAAATGGAACCGAGGACGAGATTCAACACATCAAGGAACAAGAATGCACCTAGTGCAAGAACAAGTCACAGGATTGGTTTTGTGTCTAAGTACAGTGATTTGGATAAAACAGCAAACTGAATTCTTAACTAAGTAACTCTTCTCACAATTAATTTTTGCATTTTAATGAATCAAGATTTTCATAAAAGATAAGGAGTATAATTTAGTAATCGTCAAAAATAATTGTGCCGTATGGTGCCAATAATTATTAAAATAAATATTAGGCATATTATTTAAAAATTTTGAATATGAAGTATAGCTAGAAAATATAGTTTTCCAAAAAAACACAACCAATTCGAAGTGCTTCAATAGCAACTAAAAGTCATGACCAAATTACAATTTCACGAAAAACTTAACAAAAATCGTACTCAAACTGTGCGAAATTTACTTGCTTACTTCCTGCATTTGAAATTGAAATTCGCAGTTTCCTTCGGCGCGCAGCAAAAGCTAGGGGTGTGCAGAATAAAATTAAGTGAAATTTTATGCATTTTTCACGCTCAGTGCAGCGGCTAAATAAAAATGTCAAGAGCACAAAGTTTCTGGAAGAGGGCAAATATAAAAAAAAGGGAAGGGGCCGATGAAGGCGTAAGATAAGTGCGTTACTTTTCCTCTTTTTTTTTATTTTTGGGTGGAAAGACATTGGACAGCTGGTCTTAGAGTAAGGAAAAGCTTTTCAAAATGAAGTTCTCAAGGCAACCGGGAGATAACGAAAACGGGGACACAAACGCAGCAAACACCCAAGGAAATCTGCTAACTGACCAAGCTCTCCCCTGAACTCTTCCATAAAAAGAACCCCCACACTTGACCCCGATTTCTAACTCACTCTCTGTGTGAATTATATTATTTCTTTTTCTTGGTTTTTGGCTGGTTCCTCATCTGCTTTTCTCAGTTTCTCCTTCTTTGGTTTGGTCAGCGAGTTAGTTTTTTATAAGGCGGAGGTCATAAATCACAGGCTCTACCAAAAAAGTGGGCGTCGGGGGAGCGGTGGGCGGGGCTGCCTTAATGGGAAAGAGTGACATATGGTCTTGTTTTGGGTTGGAGTGAATTCACAATTGAATATGGTCGAGGTGGTTAATCTGCAGTAGCTTAAGGGTATAAAAGCGATGGTGATTAGGATTAGCATAAAATTAAGGTTTTCTTTTACATTCCACTTCAATTTCATTACGTTGATAAAAACGGGAACATTAAACCACTCAACTTTATAAAAAATGAGGGTACTTTTAATTAAATTGATTTAACATTCGCTATTTGGATAAAAGAAATTGAATTCAAAAAATGTAATATCGGTTTTTATACAGGATCGGCACAAATCCATAACTTTTTAAACTAAGAACAAGCTCTGAGCATATATGTTAACTTGTATTTGAACGATTTTACTTCGAAACTTTATTCTTGTAATTTTTAATTGGAATTGACTTGATTTCCCTTTAAATTTGAACAACGTTTCGCCGTGAGAAATCTAAATTTCTTCCTAGTTGGCTGCGTTTTGTTGGCCACAAAGCCGCGGAAAACTTGAAAATGCCAAACCAAAAAGACCACAAAACATTTTACAGGTTACCCCCCACCAGCCACTTCCACCTTTGCAGCAGCTCACTCAATATCGAATTAAAAGCTACCTGTCCCTACCTTTTCTTACCTGAAACAATCCGAAACGGGAACCGCAGAAAATCCTTGTCGCTTTGCTTCGCTGCCTCCACTCGGCGACCACGCCCCCCAGCCCCATAATGCCCATTTATCCCGTATTCCGGGAATGCTCCCCGTACTATCGCTGAACCGCAAGCGCTAATAAATTATGACCCAAGCGCTTAACCTTGTGCCGCTCTGGCTTCCACCACCCACCACCCACTTTCACCGTCCCCGTTAACCTTCACACCTCTCACCTTTATCTGCTGGCCGCAGTGCAACAAAAACAGCAACCATAAAACCGCAACACCCGCAACAACATAGAAAGCCCAAAAGGGGCGGAAAACTTCGGGGGGAAATTGCAGGAAAAACTGCCCGCTAACGAAATTTAGTGCCCCAAAAAGGATAACAGTTTCCAAGGGGGTTAACAGAAGAGGGGAAGCATTAGCCCAGAAATACTTGGCCGAAACGAAAAGGAAATTTTTTCGGTTTAAACCTTTCATGTCGTTGTTGTTGTTGGATTTTCTTGTTATTTACGAGTTTCTGGTTCAGAGGTCAACCATCGCACTTAAAAGTGTCATTTTGCATTTTGTTTGGTTTAAAGGAAAAAGCAAGACAGCAACTAAAAAAACCTACTCGCAAAATGCAACAGACAAAAGCTAGTAGCAAAAAAGTTGCACAAGTCTAAGGATATGGATGAGGTCCTTTAGCCAACTGGTAGCCAAAAACTGGGTTAAATTTTGCCATCTAAATGGAAATGTTGTTAGCAGGAAGTTTGGCTGGCTTAAACCGAGAAAAAATTCATACAATGAAAGAAAATAATGTTCCCGAAAAGGTCTACATGAAAAGCAGTTTAGAAAAAGATTGGTGAAAGTGAATCCATATAATTTAAAAAAGGTAAAAAATATTTTTGTAATAACTAATAAACCCTAAAATGTTAGGGTATGTAGTTGTTTTTGATTTTATTTTTTTAACATACAAATTTACTGCGTACCGTATGCATTAAACTGTTTTTTGTTTCTAAAGATTTAATAAAATAAGTTTTAAAGTTTTTACTTCAAGCCCGCTATTCCCCTCGAAGATTTCGCAAAGTGTCAAGGAAAAAAGAAATTTTGTGTTCATTTTTCCCCCAACTTTCTTTGTAGGTCACTGGCACGCCCACGGAAAAAGCGGACCGCCTACTTTTCCTACTTTGCGATGACATAAATAATAACTTTGAAATGCAATTTGTGTCGATTTTGTGTTTGTGACTTTCGCAAGAGCCTTTCAGCTTTCTTAGTTCGCTGGCGACAAAAATATCAGCAATAAAAGCAAACATCCTCACATGAGCACTTGGGGAGTGGCAAAAGCTGTGACTACTTTTCGCTGCTTGTCATAAATCATCAACACAACGCGCCACTTAAGTGCTTCTAAAACAGTTTTACCCACTCCGCCCCTGTCACGCCCCTTTTTTCGGACACTACTGACCAGAGCTAAAACGCCACACCCACTTTTACAAAAATAAGGATGAACCTGTCAGCGGCAGTTGCAATACGTAAAAAAAAGGGAAATACAGATGGAAAAGCTAAATAGACAGTTGGATATGGAATAACAATGACGCAAAGTAAACAAAACGTTTTCGAAATACAAAATATAAAAACACACAATGGCAACGAGACAAGAATGAAATCTCTCACAGAGAAATATGAATAGAAAACCCGAGCAAAATGGCAATTGGAAATGGAAAAGATTAGAAGTGGAAATGTCGTTATGAATGAATGGGGGAAAAGAGCACATCGATAAAAATGGAAACTTGACTGCAGTTGAGAGGCCTCAGAAAAAGATGCCGAGAAATGAACAGAACAATGAATATATTGGAATAATGAAAAGGGAGCGAAGGGCTGGTTGAATGCCACTGAGTTTTATCTCTGTAAAAAAAATACGTACTATAGGCTGAATTCCGCACGACAAGCAAACAAAAAAAAGTAGATTTGCATAATGCCTTAATTTGCTTAGTGTAAATTGAAAAATGTAGTATGGACTGTTTAAGAAAGACTAGAGTTGCAGAAATTAAATAAAATTAAGAAAATAAAAACATATTTAGGTTATAATAATTTTTATGATAGTTATAATATTTAATAGTTTTTGGTCAGATTCTAATCTCGTACATAAAGGCAAATTTAATACTGTGACTTGTGTTATTTAATTCAAAAGTCCCACACCAAATTTTGTTTCCAATCTCCATTAGCAAAGCTCAAGGCTATTGAAATTTCTGCTCAAACACAAATAGCGAACAAAAAGCAATTTGCTGATGAAATGAAATGGCAATTGCCATTGCAAGTGAATGCAATTAAAAGGGAGAGAAGGAGACATTGAAAGATATGTGTGCCCTGAATGTTCGACGTTCGTATATTTGTGTTCTGGCTAGACCAATATCTCATATTAATTCTGTCTGTACTTCTATCATTTCCATGAAGGGGAAGAAGTTTTGGCGCAGCTTTTGGCTATTTACCGCAACAAATTCGTGTGTAATTTATCAGCCAGACAAAAGCTATGTATTGGGACCCCCACATTGGTCTTTCCAAAAGATGAACGCTTTGTCAGAACTTGCATTAAAAACAAACTCATGAAAGTTTGGACCTTTAGGCGGCAAATAGTATTTTGTAGCATACTGCTTGGCAAAAATTTATGAAGACAAACACATGCTTTAAATTGGCGGACTGCTCAAGCAATTGAATTTATTTCAAATTCAATCAATTTTGTGAATTATCAATTGCGATTAATATAATCAAGATTGGTAGATCGCTTTTAGGAGCGATATAATATGCATACTTTTGTTTTTAGTTTGTTTTTGTGTATTTACATTTATCCTCTGTTCCTTTCTGATAGTTGAACCCTAAAGTTAACTCTAAATAACAACCCACAACAATCATCTATGTACATATAACTCACCCTTGCTGATTCCGGTGGCCTTGTCCCTCAGCACATTGATCGAGTGGACAGCCCCGTACTCCTCGAACATCTCGCGCAGCTGCGACTCATCCATTGACTTGGGCACCTGTCCCACAAACATCTTGATGTTATCCGGATCCGGCTCCTTCTCGCCGTACGTAACCGTGGCGTCCGTGTCCAACCGGAAGCATGCGTCATCATCGACCAGCGCTACGACATTTCGGTTGGCGCTGCACGGATTGTTGTTGTTGTTGTTAACCAATCCAGCGGCGGACATTATACCGTTACTTCCAACGGGAACAAGAGCGTTGTTATTGTTGCCCAAGCTCGGATTGTTGTTGTTACCGCCGCTTAAGCTATTGTTGTTGCTGGTGCAGCCGTTGTTGTTGTTGTTCAGCAGCGACGGATTGTTGTTGTTGCTGTGAATGGGACTGTTTGGCAGGCTATTTGTTGCACTGCTGCTCTTATCGCTCATACCAAAAGCACTGCGAAGAAAAAAAATAAAGGGTGCCTTATTAGTAAGGTGGCCACTCGATAATAAAGCATTATTTATATTCATAGCCATATAAAAAATTCATTTTTTTAAAACAGTTTTTAACAGTTTTAGATATAATACTAACTTAATTGCGAACACGAATGAAAACCGTTAAAAAAATATTTCATAGAGAAGTACAAATGTTTTTAAATCAAAGTTTGGTTTAAAGTTTGGGTTTTATATTCATTATACATGTTCATTTCAATTAGTTACGTTATTCTATTTACGGTCAAAATTGACCACATTGCCCACTCAATTTGAATTAGAATACTTCCAAACAAGTGCCCACTGTAACATTCTTTAATATTTACTGTTAAATCACACCCACACACACACACTTACTCTAGGTAGATATCGTTGTTCTTTTCGGAGAAATCGAAAATCATGCGGCGATTGGCCAAAAACGAAGTGCGACTGCTGAACATATTTGCGATCTCAAACTAATTTTTTACACTGTCGACGCGAATGAAGAACGGGAGAACTTTAGACTTTTAATTTAGCGGCAGCCAATTACCAATACCAATACGCTTCACGTTTACTGTTAACGCACACGGACACTCCAGGTCGGATTGATTAAATTAAGGGCCAAAATAAATACTTCCACTTAACACGGCACTCAAAACTCAACGTGACTAATTAAAAAAGCTATATATTTAATAAATATATAATCGCAGCGCCTTCGCTTCTTCTTTTTCCTCCTCGCACTTCCTTTCTGGTCAATCGTCGATGGACAAATGGACGAGAATTGGGGAAAGCGAATGGAATATAACAGGTGGAAGACCACTTTCCAAAAGATTCCAGCGGGAGTGTGGGGAGAGGAATCGGAGAGAAATGGTAGCTCCAAGGTCAGTAGCCAAAACGAAGAAGAGAGGATCAAAAGCCGAGAGAGGACCAAAAGTCGAGAGCGGATCTAGGCCTGGAAGGGAGAAGGGATAGAAAGACACCAGGGAACCTTATATTTACACAGAATATTAATTTATGGTGAATGGAAGTATATATTATATATAATATATTAAAAAATTTTAACCATCTAAATCAGTGCTTCCCAAACTTGACGGGACCGCGACCCATCTACACGAAATTTTTAAGTTCTATATAATCAGGACAATCAGGACCCACAAAAAATCTAGCTGCGACCCACTCTTAGGAAAATAGTGCTCTAGATACCTTAACGATTCAGTTAAAGATATAACCAGGTTTAAAGTCCTCTAGTGGTTCATTATGTGTTATGAGATTTCACATTACTTCTCAAATGGACTTTAAAGCTAATTCGTAGACATAAAACGACTTCGACTTCAGCTTGAGTGAACCTTTCTTGTTTGGCTTGGCGATTTTCTGGCCGAGTAAACCTCAAATAGCATTAACCTAATGGCCATTTGCTTGTGTAAATAAACGATTTTAGCTTTTTTCGAATAGAATTGGGTCAGCTGAAACGCGATGAGCAAACACTTGGACAAGGACACCTGATGATTAAACGGTTTCTGTCCCCTTGCATGTACAGTTTAGAGCCAATTAATAGTGTTACTATAAATATGAAAACATTATTTATTAACGTGCAAGTATGAAGTAGTATTATCTGATTATTTTAGTTTAAAGCTCGATAAAACAAAACCATAAAGACACCAGAAAAAAAATGAAATATTATTCGTATTTTTTTTTTTAACATTGAAAACAATGCTAGTAATTTGCCCGCTGCAGTATTTGCATGTGGTGAATAAAGTGTGAATAAAATGAATTAGCCAAAAAGGAAATATAGTATAGGGTCGGATAACAGGGCGTAGCGTTCACGGAGACGGTTAGGTTACGCAGAGAAATGGTAATGACAAGGTTTTTTTGTTTGAATAATTTGAAATTTGACTTGACATGGAAAAATCGAAAGGTTTTAATTAAGAAAAGTATTTTAATTATATTCAGATATATTTAAGCTAAACGTGTATGTAATTTAACATCTCAATAACTTTTTATTTCATAATAAAAGAAATCGGAATTTGTATAGTGTTTTGCTTTCCTTTTTTTTTTTGCTCTTAATATCTTTAAAATTTAGCTTTTAATATGTAAAGGGTTGTCATTCTGTTCTAGTATTTTCATCCCTCGGCGATTTCTTTGTTGCATTTTGTAATTTGAACTTCTTTGCGCTTTGCTTTCCAGACTGTAAACTTTCTTGGTCGCCAAGTCTCTTTCCGCCTAACCCTTTTCTGGCTTTTTCGTCTTGTCTTGACTTTAATTTAGTTAAAGTTTGACAATCACTGGGGAGAAAGAGAAGATGCCACGCCCCTATACAAGTCGGCAAGATTGAGGGGCTTTCCGGGGAAAGGTCTTAAATTGCATCGACCCTTTGACACAATTATTGCATTTCTTTGCAGTGAAAAAATTGTTCCCTGGGTTATTTGAAAATTAAAGTTGGCTACAATTAAATCTGTCATGAAGCCTATAACATTAACCTTTACATTTTCCCGTAAATAAACAAAAAAAAAGCCTTAATACGCACAATGTATTTTGGAATATTAAAAATATTTATTCACAGTGTACATTGTACATGATACAAGTTCAGCTTAGGATCCAATAAAACATGCAATTGCGACAATTTTACCCAAACTTTTTTAACCGAAAAACAAAACTTTTTCACCCCAACAACAACAGCAACCAAACAACATTACGAAGAACGAACGAGTAAAACGAACTGAACTTTGTTGCTATCAAAGTTCAAACTGCAATTCATCTTCATCAACAAAAAGTATGCAATAAAAAGAGCAAGTAAGTTGTATATCCGATATGTTCACATGAAAAATACCCATCGATTCCTTACAAGTCTTACAAAAATAAAATATTTTCTAATCATCAAGAAATAAGGAATTCGTTTTGAAACAATTAAAATCGAAAGATTTTTAATAAATAGTAATCCAATATCAACGTTGTTTTCCAAACTTTTAAAATTTAAGTTAAGCTAAAAAGTTGCAGCTTTTTATTCTTCATTTTTCTTTTTGACAAGACTATCGCATTTGTGTGTCAATTTAATGCTTCCTGAAGGCTGAAATCCAGTTACAAATTTCACTCTTTAAATTTTTAGTCAAACTTTGGTCCCGTTCTTTCCTTGACTTTTTCTTAGCATTTATCTTCATTTGTCGGAGCAGAAGGAAAAGCCAAAGGACCTGGTGCTATAGCAGCTGTCAACAATTTGCCGACCGCAAAATTGTCGGGGGAGCCAAGTGGGAGTGTTTGAAATTGGGCATAGAGATTTTGCTTGGACCACGCCTTCGATTCTCCCGAGAAAGTCACTAATTTGCTTGATTACTCCGGAGAATATCCGGCGGCGGAGAAATTTGAAATCTATTATAAAAGTTTTTTAGCCTCAAAATGAGGGCTCACTTGGGATCTCCGTCTGAGATGCTGAGCGGATGGAATCCAGGACAGGGAAAATCATTTTCGACGGCGACGACATGGGTCAACACTTTGACGGGCACAAGGACAAAGAGTCAAAACTTCTCCAACAAAGACGAAGAAAATGAAGAAAACACATAGTAACTGCTCAAAGGCACTTGGAAAAATATTCTATGCAAAAATTAGATTGATGAAATTCTATAAAAAAAACATCTTTTTTATTTTTTATCTATTTTATTTGTTTATAATTAAATAAATTTGTGTTAATATTTTCTCCGAGATAAAACTTTTATTTTTATTTTCCTCATAAAGCTCCATGTCTCTTTATTGAACATCTTAATTATATTTTTTTTAAGTGATGGGTAGCAGCTGAAAATTCTTTGAAAACTTTAGCTTGTCTTTATTTTGTATATTTTCCTTTTTGTATTTTGGATCTTTCTTATTTTGCAGGTGAGTTGGATAATTTTTTTTTACGTCTAGCGTCTGCTCCACAACAAATCAAGTGCAAAGTGGAATCCTCCACTTAATGTTTGTTGTTTTTTTTGTGCTGTTTTGAGGAGAGTGAACTTTTGATTCTTGTTATTTTGTTTCTCATTTCTCTTTGTTCTCCTTGATTGGTTTTTGTTGCTAGTGCGGTGTTCTAGAGACGGGAAATCAATGGGAATACAAAAGAGAAACCAAGTGGATTTTGTGAAGAGCTTTAACATTGTAATTTCTGAAGTAGGGCACAAAAAAGAATCGAGGGTTGCTTAATAAGATCTTTACTATGAAAAGTTCAGGTGAAATCTTAAAAAATGATTGGTGGAGCCAACTTGGTTTATAATATACGTAATTGCTTCTTTTGAATCGTATGCTATTTTATCTGTTTATCACTGAACTATAAAATAACGTAAGTACCTTTTCATATTTCCTTAGGTTATAATCCCCTTAAATACCTCCATCTTCACGGTTTTTAAGCGGCTTAAACTCAGCCCACAACCCAAGTCAGGCTCTCTTTGATCTGCCCAGGAATAACCTTTTAATGCGACTCAATTTCAGGAGACTATAAATTACTCAGCTCCACAAAAAGCGAAAGAAAGGAAAGGGCAAAGAAATGCGAGAGCACAAAAATATGAGGACATTTCGGCACGCTTATCAAAGATGATTTTAAGCCGCATTTAAAAATGATTTCTTTGCTTTATTTTTGCACTGGCTCCGGCACTTTCCCTGCGCCTTTCTCTTATTTTGTCGAGCTACGCGACTTTTTCCGCTGACTGTGCGTTGTCTGGCAACCCTGGAAAAAAGAGTCGGGGAAGTTGTACGAATTTCGTGGATACCAGAGCCAAAAGATGGGAACGGTGGCCCAATGTTGACAGCCAGTGAACCCTGAAAAAGACAGTGCCAACGGGAAAAAGAGTAACAAATTCGAGTAAACTGAAATTTTGTATGCCCTATCTAAATGTATTAAAAATATATAGTTAAATTAGGGGAAAAACAAATAAAATAATTAGAAGTTGTTGATTTTAGAAAGCTTTTCCAAAAATGTTCAATATTCGAATTTGAAACATGAAACGTAATTTAATTTAATAATGT